GACACAAGCTTTCAGAAGCTCCTTTTTGCTGACGCCGTATTCTTGAGTCGTCAAGGCAGCGGGGTGGCTTTTAGTCTTGTCGAACGGGGTTGCCAGCTCAGCCTTCAGCCTATTCCCAATGTGAAATAACTCGAACGACTCAGCAAATTCCTTTACTGATATAAACCTGTAAGACTCGTTATTATCATCTGCCCAATACTGCTGCTGATCTTTCTTTGATGTCACCTGCATTTGTTTAACAAGTTTGAGTAATTATAATGGAAAATCTTCACATTAATTAGTATAATCAGCTTTATATATATATATATATATATATATATATATATATATATATATATATATATATATATTTCCAATGCCTACTTCTTGCAAGAAATCGGCCACCCCTTTTCGCTCGGGGCATTTGAAGCCCATGGATTGGAAGAACTCGAGCACGTTCTCACGTGGGCCCTGGTAAACGATCCGACCTTCGGATATGAGGATGATGTCATCGAATAGATCGTACGTCTCAGGTTCCGGCTGAAGTAGGGAAACAAGAACGGTCCCATTTAGAGTGTGGATGGATTGTCTAATGGAATTCACGATTTGAAAGGTTGTAGAACTGTCTAAGCCGGTGGATATCTCGTCCATGAAAAGCGCTTTCGCGGGCCCCACCAAGATTTCGCCTGTTGTAACGCGTTTCTTCTGTCCTCCGGAGATTCCCCGAGTCATTTCGTCTCCTACCAAAGTATCGGCACAAACGTCTAAACCGAGTATCTGCAAAGAGACCATTTTTAAGTTCGTTTTTTGGATATACATACTGCGAAACAAATTTACCGATGATGAGTACTTTAAAATACCTTGAGAATATAATCTGCGACGATACTTGCTTCTTGACCTTCTGTAGCTGCTGCCTGCATGATTAATAAATTTAAAACAGGTAATATATATTCGGCACTCGTTTGAAATTTTTAAATTGCTTCCTGCTTGGGTGAAACGGAACTTACTTTCATGTATACATCCACATCAGCATCAGGCTTTATATTTGCCTCTTTTTCTCTTCTTGACAACTCTGCCAACATTTCTGCACAAAATTACTGTCAACAGCGATTCTTCGTTTCGTTTTTAGTTAGCGAAAGATTGGTAGTTTTTGCTGACTCACCATGATTGCTTCCAACTCCTTGACATCTTGCAGAAAATGCCAAGGTTTCTCTTACAGTCATTTCTCCTATGTGGACATCATTTTGGCTTATATATGCAGCAGTTCGTTGCGGTATAAATTCTTTCATAGTATGTCCATTATACGTCACATTTCCTGAAAACTGAATCATTCAGGATGTTAAATTTTAGCCCCTGCTTTGTTTGTATTTTTTTTTTTTACTAATTTTAAAAGAGATATTCGATTTTTACTTTCAATTCAGGATCAAGCATCCCGGCCAAAGCCAACAAAAGTGTCGTCTTTCCGGAACTTGGAGGGCCTAAAAGAAGTGTCATGCTAACAGGGAAAAACAAAACAGATCAAACACAAACACACACACACCATACATATATATATATATATATATATATATATATATATATATATATATATATATATAGCCAGAATGAAGTAAAGTACGAATTTGTTTGTGGATATTTTTACCGACTAGGCTTCAAGATTCCAGTGACATTGTTCAGGATCAATAATGGCTTCTTTCTGCTAGGAATTATTCGAAGATTGTTCGCGAATCCCTTACAGAGAACAAGAGTTAATTAGATTAAAAGTCTCGTTGACGACAAAGAATGTACAGATGATTTAATTGATGACAACTTTCGATTACCTCCAAGAAATTGGCAAAGAAATTGAGGAAAGAAGGCAAAGCTCTACTTCCCGCATAAGCTTCTGTTCCAACATTCAGCTGCTCAAATCTCACTTCGATTGTCGGTAATTCTATTCCAACTCTGCAACAAAAGATTAAAAAACACAACCAGAAATATTACAAGAGAATGCCAAAAAAAAAAAAAAAATCGAACGTCAATATCACCTATCGATTCGATTCTTGAGCTTCAACAAGAACTTCTCATTGTCTTCTTCTGCAACCTTAACCAGCCTCTCCAGCAAGTCTGCCCTTTCTTGAGATCCGAGATCCTTTACATCAACCTCACTCGAAACGCCTCCCGAACCGAGCAAAAGACCTTTTCTCAAACGGTCAAAAGTCGGAAGCTTTTCCAAAGAAGCCCATTTTAGAGCTTCTTCGTCACCTTCTTCCTCTCGTGATGAATTCGAAAACATTTCCAAATTATTGCTCCTCCAAGCCGAGCTATTCATCCTCAAGCTATTATTGGCTCTATATGCATTAGTAATATCCATTTCTTTTTTTTTCGTGTTTTTACGTCAAATAGGAAGAGAACCTTAAATTTGCTAAAGCCGATAATCAAAAGAAACAGCACAACAAAATACTCATCCAGCTTCAGCTTCAGCTTCCGCTTCCTCTCATGAACAAATAACAGGATTAAGTGTACATTTAATGTGCATGCATGCATATACTTTTCATTCTTTCTTCGGTTGAGAAAACGAAGAAAGTAATACAAGTGAAAGCACACAATCTTTGATTTTTTTTTTGCGTAGTTAGAGCTGAATGTAGCACTTTAAATAAGAGTGACCAAAGAAAATTCTGAATTCTAGAGATTTACCATTCATCAATGCCTAAAAAGATGAAAGTAAATAAACTTAGTTACAAACATTTGAGGGGATTTCGAATACAAATATATTTGGGGAAAAACATTTACTCCAAATGGTCAGTGAAGAAAATATCCATACAGGGGGCAATAAGCATTGCACAACAAAAATGAATTTGCAGGGATTTAGTGCTGTGCATTTAGCTACCTGACTAATTTGGTTATTTTTTTTTATTATTTTACAATATTAAATCGAGAAATAATAGTTCTGAATAATTAGTTTGTAAATTGGGGATAATCGAATAATAATAAGACGAAGAAAGGTAACAACAAAATGATCGTGTATCGTAAAAATAAATGGTACATCGAATTCGACTAGCAGTTGAAGAATGGGAGGAGCAGCCGCCGGCGATAGGCGGTCCGTGATAACCGTCGGTGGGGCTTGGGTGGTCGGCGCGTGTGCAGCAGAGGCGGCTGTTGTTGCTGATGCGCAGCTTCTTCTTCTTCGGTATAGCGCCACTGCTTGTCATTGTGTGGAGACGAGTAAGTGATCGGCGGCGGAGGCGGAGGCGGAGGGTGGAGGGTGGTGGAGTGGTGATATCCGCGGCGGAATCAAAATTGAACCAATTCAATCGGAATCAATTGATTTTTTTAATTTTTATTTTTATTTTTTAAAAATAATTTAAAAGTGATTGTCTTGTGATTTCAAATGTAATTTTATCTAATTTTTAGTTTAAATTTTGACAAAATCCAAAACATCAAAATTGCAGCCATTAGAGTTAATTTTCTAAATCAAGATTCGAATCAAGTAGAATGGAGTCGAGTGTGAGATGTATACATGAATGAATAAAATATTAATTACAATTTTAGTGTGTTTATGGTTTTATTTTCCAATTGTGACTCATTCTTGCATAATATTCTCATGTGTTCAGTTTTTCATCAAAATAGAGTGCTAAATGCCTGCAATTTTGTTCTTTATATTTTTTTTATTGTAATGAAGGTAGATATTTCACAAGAACAATATATGTAACTCATACACTAACCTATCAATTTTTAGATATTCAATATTTACGACAAAAATATTGATGTATTTATGATATGTACGTTTTCTTCGCTTCCTCCAATTATTGAAAGAGCATTCTTCTTCAATCAATCAACCCTACAGCTAGCGTGCAACAACTCATCACATTCCTGTCAATCTCTAGCTCGAGGGTCTTCTGAACTATCCAGCTATCTCAAGTAATTTGCATCAAATTCGATTTTTAAATTGTTCATAAATTACTTACCTTTGATTTTGGCATACAATCAAATATTGTCTATCAATCTTGTTTCATATTTGAAAGTGGTTGAGAAATTATACTTAGATAGAAAAAATAAAACTATGGTAATTTCCTAGTTCATAATAGAAATTTGTTACACGTCGTACTCTACTTATTGTACTAATTGGAAGCTTAATTAAAGTCTATATTTGTGTTATTATAATTGGTGGTAAAGTAGACCTACCCATTTGATATATCTAACAAAGATAAAATTAAACTATGATATATAGTTATATACAAATATGCCTTCCCCTCCAAAAGTTTTTACCCCAAATATCTATAAATAGAGGAAATTAAAGTTGTTTAATTTCTTCACATTTTTTTATTGCAACCATTTAAGCGGTGCTTCCATAATTCAAACTTAATTTAAGGCCAAACTATTTGTCATTTGTGTGAGGGCTTTTACTCATTTAAATAGAATAGTTTGCTAAATTACGGTCACCGCTAATTTAAAGTTAAATTACGAAAACTCCCTTCATGTTTGAGTAATTACAACCAACCCCTTTAATTATGGATCTTCTTAAACTTAACTATGGATCTTCTTAAACGTCCATCATTGTGATGTCAAATTTAGTGGAATCTTCTAGATTATGTAGAATCTTCTCCAGTTTGTACTCGTTTTGAACTAAGATGATCATAAGATGTGTCTCTTTAGCTTGTAAATATCAGACTGTGGTGAATCAAAAACTGCATTTTTGCACAAAACGAGGACAAACTAGAAAACATTTCATGGAATCTAGAAGATATTGTTGAATTTCAGGGTGCATTTGGATGGAGGGATTTGGGGAGGGATTTCAAATCCATAATAACAAATCCCTTGGACTTATTTGGATTGAGGGATTTGGAGATGGATTTCAAATTCCCACCACTCCTTTTTAGTTGTTTTTTAAGCAATAGTGGTGGATTTCAAATGACTCCAAAAGTGGAGTCATTCAAAT